CTCACCCGCCTGCTCGAGGTGCTCTCGGGGGAGAGCCTGGTGAGGGACACGGGGGGGTCGTCTTCATCATCTTCATCATCTTCATCTTCATCTTCAATCATCAACATCGTCGTCATCATTGTCATCATCATCATGAACGTCGTCCTCACCCGCCTGCTCGAGGTGCTCTCGGGGGAGAGCCTGGTGAGGGACACGGGGGGGTCATCTTCATCATCTTCATCATCATCATCATCGTCATCATCGTCATCGTCTTCATCATCACCCTTATCATCATCATCTTCATCATTGTTATCGTTATCGTCGTCATCGTCAACATCACCATCAACTTCAACGTCATCCTCACCCGCCTGCTCGAGGTGCTCTCGGGGGAGAGCCTGGTGAGGGCCACGGGGGGGTCATCTTCATCATCATCATCATCTTCATCATCATCATCATCTTCATCATCTTCATTGTCATCATCATCTTCATTATCATTGTTATCATTGTCGTCGTCATCGTCATCGTCAACATCATCATCATCATGAACGTCATCCTCACCCGCCTGCTCGAGGTGCTCTCGGGGGAGATCCTGGTGAGGGACACGGGGGGGTCGTCTTCATTATCGTCATCTTCATCATTACTGTCATCTTCATCATCGTTATCATCATCGTTATCATCATCAATGTCCTCACCCTCCTGCTCGAGGTGCTCTCGGGGGAGAGCCTGGTGAGGGACATGGGGGGGTCGTCTTCATCATCATCATCTTCATCATCATCATCTTCATCATTATTGTCATCTTCATCTTCATCGTCATCGTTATCATTGTCGTTGTCGTCGTCATCGTCAACATCATCATCAACATCAACGTCATCCTCACCCGCCTGCTCGAGGTGCTCTCGGGGGAGAGCCTGGTGAGGGCCACGGGGGGGTCATCTTCATCATCTTCATCATCATCATCATCTTCATCATCTTCATCATTATTGTCATCTTCATCATCATCATTGTTATCATTGTCATCGTCATCAACAACTTCAACGTCATCCTCACCCGCCTGCTCGAGGTGCTCTCGGGGGAGAGCCTGGTGAGGGCCACGGGGGGGTCGTCTTCATCATCATCATCATCATCATCATCATCTTCATCATTATTGTCATCTTCATCATCATCATCATCAACGTCGTCATCATCAATGTCAGCGTCGTCATCATCATCATCATCAATGTCCTCACCCTCCTGCTCGAGGTGCTCTTGGGGGAGAGCCTGGTGAGGGACACGGGGGGGTCGTCTTCATCATCTTCATCATCATCATCATCGTTATCATCATCATTATCGTCATCATCAACATCATCAACATTGTCATCATCATCAACTTCAACGTCATCCTCACCCGCCTGCTCGAGGTGCTCTCGGGGGAGAGCCTGGTGAGGGCCACAGGGGGGTCATCTTCATCATCATTGTCATCATCATTGTCATCATCATCATCATCATCATCATCGTCGTCGTCATCTTCATCTTCAATCATCAACATCATCATCAATGTAGACTTCATCAATGTCATCCCCATCATCATCATCATCATCATTAATATTGTCATCATCATCACCAACGTTGTCATCGTCAGCGTCATCATCGTCATCAAATCAACATCATCATCAAGTCAACGTGAACATCATCATCATCAAATCAACATCATCATCATCAACATGAACATCATCATCATCAAATCAACATCATCATCAACATGAACATCATCATCACCATCATCAAGTCAACAAAAACATCATCTTCATCATCATCAAATCAACATCATCATCATCATCAAATCAACATGAACATCATCATCATCAAATCAACATCATCATCATCATCATCAATGTGATCATCACCATCATCAAGTCAACAAAAACATCGTCATCATCATCAAATCAACTTCATCATCATCTTCATCATCATCAAACCAACGTCAACATTAACATTGTCATCATCAACATCATCATCCAATCAACATCATCATCATCAAATCAACATCATCATCATCTTCATCATCATCAAATCAACTTCATCATCATCAACATAAACATCATCATCATCATCATCATCAAATCAACTTCATCATCATCTTCATCATCATCAAATCAGCGTCAACATTAACATTGTCGTCATCAACATCATCATCCAATCGACATCATCATCATCATCATCATCAACCTTGTCATCATCATCATCCAATCAACATCATCATCATCATCAAACCAATGTCAACATTAACATTGCCGTTATCAATGTCATCATCCAATCAATATCATCATCGTCATCAAATCAACTTCAACATTAACATTGTCATCCAATCAACATCGTCATTATCACCAAACCAACGTCAACATTAACATTGGCATCACAACATCATCATCATCATCATCATCACCAAGCTTGTCATCATCATCATCATCCAATCAACATCATCATCATCATCAAATTCCTC